TGGCTGTGGCTACAATGTAGCTTGCCATCACCAGTGTGTGAATGGGTGGATGACTGGATGTGTAAAGCGCTTTGGGGTCGATCCAATACAGTAACAGTAACAGAAACAGACTAGACTATTTAACAATACAATAAGTTACAGATTTACAGATTTAAGAAATAGAACAAATATATACAAATCACTCAATAATATATATCAAGGATTGACAGAGATGATTATAAATAAATATCAAGAATATTGACAGCAACATTACTGAGTAGAAAACAGCGTGTGCTATTGCAGTGTTTACAGTGTATACTGTGTATAAATGGAGGAGCTGTACAGGAAGATGGTTTCCTGTGTCGTTCAGTGGTGCTTTTTGGTACTCTGTCTCTCATTGAACGTGCTTCTGTGGCTAGCCAGCACGTCATGGAGCGGGTGGGAGGTATTATCCAACATTGGCTTTATTTTGGACACCACCTTAAGGGAGTCCAGCTCCATCCCCACAACATTACTGCCCTTGCAGAACAGTTTATTTAGTCTGTTGGCATCTGTGACCCTGAACCTGCTCCCCCAGCATGCAACAGCATAGAGGATAGCACTGGCCACAACAGACTCATAGAAAATCCTGAGCATTGTCTGACATATGTTGAAGGAGTTCAGCCGCCTCAGAAAATAGAGACGACCCTGGCCTCTCCTGTAAAGTGCAGTGGTGTTTTTAACCCAGTCTTGTTTATTGTCTATGTGTACTCCAAGGTATTTATAGTCCTCCACAATGTCCACATCGACCCCCTGGATTGAAACAGGAGTCAAGGGTTTCCTGGTCTTAAAGTCCACGAGCAATTCCTTGGTCTTTGCCACATTGAGCTGCAGATTATTCTGCTTGCACCATGTGACAAAGGAGTCACCCACAGCCCAGTACTCTGACTCATCACCCTTGCTGATGCATCCGACCACCGCAGAGTCATCAGAAAACTTCTGAAGACTGCAGGTCTGTGTATAAAAGTGTCTGTAGCTAAGAAGGTAGAGCAGGTCATATACCAAGCTGAAGGTTTAAGCGGGACAGTGCGTTGAGGTTATTTTATATATTTTTCTAAAAACAAATGTCCTCTATGCACCTGTCATTGATTCAGGTGTGCAGTATTTTTTTATTATTTCCATCACAAAATGATTGTGTCTGCCTTTGGTGAATATAGTGGTTCTTATATACTGTTTTTCTACTGTACTTGTGCGCTCAAAGCACTTTATACAATGTGCCTCATTCACCTAAGTTGAATGCTTCCTATTCACACTCCCACAGATACATCGGAGAGCAATTTGGGGTTCAGCATCTTGCCTGAGGATAATTTTTGCATGCAGACTAGAGCAACCAGGAATTGAACCACTAAACCTTCGGCTTAGTGGCTGACCAGCTCTACCTCCTGAACTACAGCCACATTTTGATGGTGTGTGTCAACAACAGCATGCCTAGGGTCACGAGGCCCACTAATGGTGTAGTGAGTAAAGGAAGGCCTAGTGACCTTAAAGCATTTTTGACATATATTGTGTAATTCATTTAGTACAAAATGACACAACAATGGTCAGTGGAACCAGAATTATAAACCTTTTCAGGCAATGGTTAAAGTGGGATTTGGCAGGTGGACGAACCTTAAGTTCTCACCTAATAGGGGAATGAAAAAGAATGTTACATAAACCTTATCTGTTTAAATTCAATCTGATTACTGCTTCTGGAAACAAGTCCTGTTAATCAGCAGCCATAGTGAAATGTACATGGGCACCGACTTTAAAGTATTTTCTTTTATTTTCATTCTAATGGTCAATGAGACATAAACATGCATGCACAGAAAATTATAAATGTTTGTGAAAAACAATAACCTAAGAACATTAGCTTACTTGCCCCACAAATAAAAGCCTTCCCCCTAGATTTTGTCTTTCTATCGCTACATTTGCTCTTGCAAAATTCTTAAATTCATACATAGCTGTTTCTCTTATAATGGTGATACCGAGGACCTAAATTAATAATGTCCATGTAAACTCTACCAAAATACTGCAAAACCAGTTTTGCATTTAATGTCCATCATAACCTTTGAATAACATCAAATTCTTATCATGTAATTTGTTAAACACATTACCTAATATGAAATATCATAACTT